GAGAGAGAGAGAGAGAGAGAGAGAGAGAGAGAGAGAGAGAGAGAGAGAATATGAATAAATATGAGAAGAGAAAGGAGGAGACATAGCCATCAGAGCACCAGGAAACAGGAGAAAAATAAGAACTACTACTGACCCAAGTAAGATCATGTAATTGTGAGACTTGGGTGGACAGAGGTGAAATGTGGCTCAGAGATGCTAAGATTTAGTCTACTCTAGCTCTTGATAGGCTCCAACTCCAACCACAGGGCACCCCAACCCCCAACAAAGTTCAGTTAAAGAAACAGTTTTGAAAAACTAAGGCAGGATTTTTATTAAACAACACCCAATCTTTTATAATAGGTAAATAAACTTTGCCTGCCTTAGTCACAGAAGGAGTACATATTAGTTTCTATGTTAAAATACTAAATACTCTCCTAAGCCATTATTAATAGAAAAAAGTTACATACCTGGCATCATCTTTCAAACTATCACTGAATTTTGATCCTGAAGAACGTATATTAAAAGGATCAGAATCATCACTGATATCAAATGCCTCTGCTAACCTCCTGAAAATGAGAGAAGTTTTTGCAAACATAAGGAAAGGAGCAGAGGAAACTATCTTATAAAGCAGTCCTTCCTTACCTATAGGAGATATGTTCCAAGACCTCAAATGGATGTTTAAAACTGTAATAGTACCAAGCCCCATGCATGCTATGTTTTCCTATACATACATATCTATGATAAAATTTAATTTATAAATTAGTACAGTAAAAGATTAATAATAAAAAAAAAAACAGTACAGATTTTAGCAATGTTAACATGTGATTTTTTCCCCCCTTAAGTTGAGAACTTTTACCTTTTTATTTATACACTTCATTTCTTCTCTTCGGCAAATCTGAATTGTCAGTCACTACTCTTGTGCTTCAGAGCCATTATTAAGTACAATTATGTGTTATTTGAACATAAACATGTGATATTGCAGTAGTTAATCTAATAACTCAGATGGTTACTAAGTGGCTACTAGGTGGGTAGTGTATTCAGTGTGGATACTGGACATAGACGTGATTCATCTCCCTCACATGATGGAGTGGGGATGGTGTAAAATTTCATCAGGCTATTAACAACAGAGTGAAATTTAAAATCAGTAAATTTTTTACTTTTGGAATTTTCCATTTAATATTTTTGATCTACAGTTGACTGTGGGTTACTAAAACTGGAAAGCAAAACTGCAGATAAGGGGTGACTACTGTAATAATATACAGGGATTACAATGTCCTAAGTTCCTTATATATTAGCCATTTGATTTCAGTAAAATGGGTGACTAAAAAAAAGAAAACAAGATGTGGTATTGTCTTCATAGACTAAAATAAACAAAAAACGACCTATATGGGTCTGAATAAACTGAATATTAGAGATTTGTATTATTTGGGGAAGAGAAGGCTGGTGTATGACATTACTGGAAATGGTCAATGAGGAATGACTTTCTCTGAGGCTTAACATAGGTACCTAAGCTATGAAGGTAGCTCTGTGGCAGACTGCATATTTAACATGCACAATGTGTTTAGTCTGATCCCCAGCATCAAACAAAACAAAACAAAACAAAAACCCCAAATCATAAAATGGACATATAAACACCAAATTAAAACCCCATCACAAAAATCTGGAAAATAAAAGCAGAAAGAATTTCACTGGGAAACATATGTACCATATTTGTTTGTTTAAGACATGGTTTCCTTATCTTGCCTAAGCTGGTCTCAAACCTCATGGGCTCAAGTGATCCTCCTGCCTTGGCCACCTGAGTAGGTGGGTTTATAGACACATGCTATGCAATGGCTTAAATTTTCCTATTTTTTTTTTTAAATGGTCTTAATTTTCAGAATTCTTGGAGGGAGATCCTTTGATGTTTTTATTAGTAGGCTACCAATTCAAATTTAAGTTTTTTTTTTTTTAAAGAGAGAGAGAGAGAGATAATTTTTCATATTTATTTTTTAGTTTTCGGCGGACACAACATCTTTGTTTGTATGTGGGGCTGGGGATCGAACCCGGGCCGTGCTACCGCTTGAGCCACATCCCCAGCCCTCAAATTTAAACACTAATTAAAACCTGTCTGTGAGCTGAATTTAGCCTGTTAGTTTTTGATTTTTGCAATAGAAATATACATATATTTTAACTTTAGATTGAGTTTTCTTTTTAAAATTTGCATTTCTTTTCTTTGGTAGATCACTTGTCTAGCATGTGCAAGGCCCTGGATTCTATCTCCAGCACTGTGCAAAAAAAAAAAAAAAAAAAGCAAAAGCCAGTTTAAATCAGTAACTAATATTTACTGGGCAATTACTATGTGTCAGGCTTGTGACAAGAGCCTTATATGTCTTCCTTAATTTTAATATATTAATCCTCACAAAAACTCTGGGAAGTAGATATTATTATTGTCACTAATAAACAAATTTTTAACAAAAATTAAAGCTTAGGGAGAATATGTGACTTGCTGAAGGTTATAAAGCTACGTGATTTGTAAAGATAGGATTCAAATCTAGATAATTCGACTCTGGAGCTCTGGACAGCTCAGACTACTATATAATACTACCACTCAACTACACAAAGACATATTTTCATATTTTGGACACCTATGAATTTAGAACATTTCTGAACATCTGGGACTCCTACTTCACATTTTACAACTAAGAATACTAACTGATGGTTATTAAAAGGGCATGGGTTTGAACAGCACTTACTAGAAAATTCCCATGAGAGTCACAGCAAGGGAACTTTGAACAGCATTTTTGCTGAAAGCACTGTAGTTTGGCACAACCAATTTGAACACTTGGAAGAATCTATTAAAGCTGAACATAGGCATACTTTATTAATCAACAATTGTACTCCTAAGTTATTTGTTTCCACTGGATATAAACTTAGGAATATATATATTATATATAGCAAAGCAAGAATAAAAATATTCTTGGGGGCTGGGAATGTAGCTCTGAGGCACAGTGCTTGGAAAGTAAGTGCAAGATCTCAGGTTCAATCCCTAGCACCTCACAAAAGAAGAAGTTCTTAACAGCATTATTTGTAACAGCCCAATAGCAGAATGGTTACTGATATATTAATGCAATAATATGCAAAAATGAAGATGAATTCAGTGCTGCTACTTGCAACAACAGAAATGAGTGTCACAAATGTAATGAAAGAAACCAAACACAAACCATATGATTTCATTTTATATAAAGTTCAAAAACAGACAAGACTCAAGTCAGGACAGACAATTTTGTGGGCTACATGAGAGGACTCTGATAATTTTCTACTTCTTGACTTCAGTATTGTTTATATCACTGTAGCCCACTGATCTTTACACTTATATGTTGTATTTCAATACAAAGAATTCATTTAAAAAAATATTTATTTTTTACTTTTAGGTGGACATAATATCTTCATTTTATTTTTATGTGGTGCTGAGGATTGAATCCAGTGCCTCATGCATGCCAGGCGAGGGCGCTACCACTTGAGCCACATCCCGAGCAGAATTCATTTTAAGATTGTTACCTCTGTTGGAATCAGGAAGTTGGCCAGTCACTAAATAATTATGTAGTGGCATCATGCCCAAATCCACCCAGCTCATGCTTCTGAAATATGGTGAAACTACCTGAGTAGTTTATCCTTAGACAATTCAATTCTTGACGATCATATTTCTCTTTCTGACAGCAGTGAAAGACTCAGAGTAGACAAAAGGGTTGCTTCCTCCCATTAATTAATAGGGCTCAGTGACAAGTAGATAACAAGCTGTTGAAACCACTTACTTTTTCCTTTCCAAGGCTGAACACTCCTCATCACACTCTAGCCTTGATAAGCAAAGGAAAAAAAATTAGTTAGGACACAGGTTCTACAGTTCCTATCCAGCAAGAAAGTCTTACTTAGAACATAGCAGACTCTTGCCAAAGGACTTTTCTTCAGGCCAGCTTGTGAGGTCAACTACTTTTCAGGTTTCATTAGCAACTCCTGCCCTGTGAATCTCATTGTTTCCCCTGGTCTCTAGGTTATGGGAATCTAGGAGTCCTCAATGGGCATGTTCTCTGGATGCTCTGCCTTCAAAATGCTCCCCAGGGACCCTTCTGGCAGTCCCACCTCCCTTCTTATATTCAGCTACCATTCTGATTCTCTGTTTTCCTGTGGGCTGGGCTGGGCACATCTAGGACTCTGCTTACTCTATCAACTGTCTAAAGTGAAACTGGAAAATATCCTCTGGTCTTAGCTACATCTTGAGTGGGACTCCTTGGGTTTGGAGTGGGTATGGTCTCAACATCAAAGTGTCTTGAATACCTCCTGTGAGTGAGCTCCATTGTGGGAGACTGAAATAAATGAATGTGCCCTACCCATGAGAAACCAAGTCTAATTAGAGAAAGAAGGCACCTTACACATTTTAAAAATTACCTGGCTTGTTGAATTTCCTTCTTGGTAATTAACTTGCTGATCTCCACTGAATCTCCAAGCTGCATGTCTGTTATTTTAGAGGCCATAGAAATAGCAGCTATTCTGAAATATTGAAAAGAGAAAAGTTTCATAAGAAACTCCCCATGCTAGAAACACAGAACACTGCTTTTAAAGCCAATCCACCACAAGACAGTTTGTGTGGCCTTGGAATCCTATCTTACAAACTACCTACTGTTTGTGGCATGAGTCCTCACTAGGTTTTAAGCAGCTACACAGGAAGTGATGAGGTAACCCAACTCCTCAGTACACCTGAGCATTCAGGCCAATGCCCAGCACTCAGCAGGTTTTCATAAATAGCCAATTTGATGTTTGTGTATTTGCAAAGTCCTATATCTAAGGCCTACCTCAACATCTAATCAGAAACACCCATACCAGTCATTCCCTAACACCTCCATCCCTATACTCAGATCCCTGTATGACCACACAAATTCCAAGACTTTAAAAGGCTAAAAAGATCCCTCCCAGAACAATTAGAAAAACTTGACTGGGGAAGGGGCACCTTTAGGCAGTGGGATATTAAAGCAATTTATCTAACTTCAGGATATCTTTTCTTTATCTCATAGTTTAATAAGACCAAAAGGGGGAAAATGAGCGAGAGAGGAGAAGAAAAAGATTCTCTTACTTTTAGAAAACTTGCAAGGATCTTCCAATAAACACATGAATCCCCTTCATCTACATCTACCAATTGTTAACATTTCTGTAGCACTAACCTTTGATAGGTACTGGATGCTTCAGAGCAAATCACCATTTCTTTTCTTCGTCCACATTCACACTGTAGCTCTACCTGAAATAAAATTAACATGGAACGACTCTTAGCACATGTAAATCATGTGTTAAGCAGGCTTTGCTTCTAAGAGTTCTCTTAAACCAAACCATGGCAAGAGAGTCAGTGAGAAGCCACATTCCAAGATGGAAGAAGCTAACACATGTGCATTTTCTTTGTTGTGTGCATGGGTTAATGGGATTGAACCCAGGGCCTCACACATGCTAGGTAAGTAAGCCCTCTACCACTGAGTTACATCCCCATCCCCTTTAAAAATTTATTTACTTATTTTTGGCTGGGTGTGGTGATGCATGCTTGTAATCCTAGCGGCTTGGGAGCCAGAGGCAAGAGGATTATGAGTTCAAAGCCAGCTTCAGCAATTTATCGAGGCGCTAAGCAACTCAGTGAGACCCAGTCACTAATAAAATACAAAACAGGGCTGGGGATGTGGTTCAGTGGTTGAGTGCCTTTGAGTTCAATCCCTGGTATACCCACTCCAACCAAAGAAATTTATTTTTGAGACAGGGTTTTGCTAAGTTCCAGAGGCTGGCCTTGAACTTATGATCCTTCTGCTTCAGTCTCCTGAGCATCTGGGATTATATATAATGCTCCTTTCTAGAAACTACTCTGCTCTTAATCCGGCATGAAAGCTCAGAATGAAGTTTATACCACTGAACCAGAGGTGGATACTTGTACTAGGGGCAACCAATTGAGGTCTAGCCAATACCACTAGATTCATCTGCTTTCATCCCTTCTAGATGGCCTTGCTTGATCAACCCTTATATCCAGCCAAGTTTCCTACATGCTCCCACAGCACCCTCTCTAAGGATATAACTACTCCTCTATGATACCATATCTGATCTATCTGATTAATTACCATCAAATTATAAGGGACCATGTTTATTACCTCATACAATTTTTTTTAAAAATACTCAGACATTATACATTTATTGAATAAATGGAGTTGACAGGGTCTCCTAAGAATGTGACTGAAGGGAGACACAGAATGTGGTCAGATGACAGTAGGGTATCTGCTGAACTAAAAGGCCATACCAAGTTGGCAAATAGAAATTTTTATGATTTATACCATCTTTCTCTTGCTACCTTAACTTGGAGTTCCTTGCAACCAATGTTTCCTGACTGATTAAGATGCATGGCCAGGGTCTGCTTAGTCAGTTCTGGATTCACTAGCAGCCCCAGAGTCAGTGTTCCATCTGAAGTCAGAAATACCCACCTTGGCTTTGCAAGCAGTCACTGGACAGGGTGAGCTGGGGTGGCAAGATGCCATACATGGGTGGCCACAGTCAGCTCTGGGTGTGGTGCAGGGCTGTTTGCAGGCCTCATCCACAAGACATTCTCCTTTATGACAGAGTCTCTGACACTTGTGCATCCCACATGGTAGCGTAGCACTGCAGGGTAATCCGCAAGAGATATCAACCAGGTGACAGGGGATGTTGCTTCGTAACTAGGAAAGACAGAAGTAGCCAGATTCTCATCTCTGTGTGGGATGTGGGGTGAGATTTAATTTACCTTTAGAACATTTTTGAACTTTGCTCTTTTTATTTGAAAACAATTAATTTGATTTTCAAAGTCAAAAAGGAGTGGTTTGACAAGAAAATAAATGTGAACTTTAATAATAATTATGTTTGCTATGATCCAAAAAATTTGTGGCAGCAGCTAAGTGTGACCTGAGGCAAACTTTCTAAGGTAGGCAACAGGAAATTAAATCAGATAACTAGGAAGTACTTCAAAACTGCTATGACTGGGCTGGGTTGTAGTTCAGTGGTAGAGCACTTGCCTAGCACATGTGAGGCACTGGGTTCGATCCTTAGCACCATATAATAAATAAACAAAAGTACTGGGTCTGTCTACAACTAAAGATACTTAAAAACAAACAACTGCTATGACCAATAAGGAAAGGAAAAAAGGAGGAGGAGCATGAAAATAAGAAGGCAGATTAGTGGTGTAGAGAAAGGGAACAGAGGGTAAGGGAGGAGGGATGAGAAAAGGTAGGAACTGTGGAATGAAACTGACCAAAATTATATCATGTACATATATTAATATATCACAGTGAATTCCAACTTTATTTCTATCTATAAAGTGCCAATTAAAAAATAATAAATAAATAGAAGAAAGACCAGTATAGTAAAAGAAGGGATGGGGAGAGAGGAGGGTAAGGAAATACAAAGTACTGGGGAATGAAATGGAGCAAATTATATTACATGCATGTATAATTATGTCAAAATGAATTCACTATTATGTATAACTATAATGCACTAATAAAACATCATTAAAATAAAGAAAAAAACATGGGAAAACTTTAAAAAACCAAAATTCTATGACTCAACTGGGAGGATCAGAAGATATCTTGCTTTTTCAGACTATGAAGGCACCAAGTCGACAGACTAACCATTTTACATGCTGGGGCTGGGGAGAATCTTGGCCTAGGGTTCTGAGATAGGTGGCAGGACTGTTTTATGTGCGTAATATTCAACTCTCCTCACATCTTCCAAATAATTGCCTCATAACTTCAGGCAGCCCTGTCATTTAAAAAAATTAAGAGGCAATAGTAACCCCCAATTTATTTTTTGAAGAAATTGCATGGTTCCAGATTTCCCCACTGCAGGAAAAATGTCTTAAAAATTTACTTCTGTGGAACCAAAGTTTACTCTCACATAGTCACTCAAATTCCTTCAAGAACCCTCAAAATGAGGAATACACTTCAACTTCAGTGACATATAACTTTTGAAGAGGACATATGTTTCCAATTGTTTTGGAATTAGTATTCGGGTAGAATATAGTTCCTAATCATTAAACATTTACCTATTCTAGTACCAGGGCATAAATTCTGGCTAATGCTCTATTCTCTGTCATCTTCTTCCCACATTGCTTACCTACCTCCTCATGATCATTCAGTATGTTATTTCCCCCAAATGCCTTCAAGACCCCTTCACCCCTTCAGTATTCTGTATTTTCCACATTACTGCATTTATAATTGCCTGTTTTCCTGTCTGCTTCCCACCAAAGTGAAGGTCGCACAAGGGCAGGGTCATGTCAATCTTGTTAACAAGATTGGAGCCACATCTCCAGCCCTCTTTATTTTTTGAGACAGGGTTTCACTAAGTTGCTCAAGGCCTTGCTAAGCTGTTGAGGCTGACCTCGAATTTATGATCTTATTACCTCAGCTTCCTGAGTCACTGGGATTATAATGTGTGCCAGTACGCTTGGCTAGTTAACTTCTTCAAACACACACACACACAAATACATATATATATTTTTAGTTGAGATGGACACAGTGCCTTTATTTTTACGTGGTGCTGAGGATCGAACCTAGTGCCTTCCACATGCAAGGTGAGCACTCTACTACTGAGCTACAACCCTAGCCCTAGTGTTGTTAACTTCTGAATATGCCAAACCTATTACCTAGCACATAGTAGATACTCAATATTTGTTGAAAGAAGTGTGGCTAAGTCATCAATACAAAGATGACACATAGATGTCTTAGAATGGATAAATTCGAAGAGGAAGTGAGATTTATAGAGGAGATAAATACGAAGGACTATGACTTGAGAACTACTCACAGGAAATAAGTGGAGAAAAATATGTCCATCAAGATAAGAAAATAATACTAAAAGCATGTTGTTACAGATGTCAAGAGAATTTCAAGAAATGTTGGCTAATGTGTTATGGAGTAAAAAGATCAGGTTACAAAACAATATTATCTTAATCAGAGTAGGGGAAAGTATGTATCTGCATCAACACATGCCTGGTAGATTATACACCAAGAATGTTAAAGTATATATATCTCTTTCTTGGGCTGGGGTATAGCTTAGTGGTAGGAGGTTTGCATAGCACACACATACTGGGTTCAGTCCCCAGTACTAATTCCCTTCTTGCCTACCTGTAAAGTACTCTATTGGAAGCAGAACTTTAAATATGCTTTTTAAAAAAATCTTTATTTTATTTTCATGTGGTGCTGAGGATTTGAACCCAGTGCTTCATACAAGCTTGGTGAGCGCATTACCTCTGAGCCACAACTCCAACCCTAAATATACATTTTTAAAATAGAAATTTCAAGCATTTAAAGATTTATAGTGGACAATGTCAAATATGGCTTAGAGATTAAGAATGAGAATGGAAGTCCTTCAGGGTACTGGTAATAAGACTGGAGGAAGGCATTTGAGTCCAGTGGTTGGGAATGGGGAGTTGCATAGGGATGAGAGAACAAACCGGGCAGCTAGGATACAGTCCATTTCTTCTCTTATTGAAATACTTCTTCCTAGGCTAGTAACTCTACTTTCATGCCAGTTAACTTAGAAGTTCTGTTTTTGAACATAGCATGTGTTCTCAAGGTCAACTAGGCTGAATTTCATTAGTTGTAATGAGTTTGGAGAATGTTAAAACAGACTCAAACTGCTACCTACTCAATGATTTCACTTTTGTGATATTCTGGAAAGAACTACAGTATTGGGACAGACAACGACAACAATAACAACAACAACAAAAAAAAAAAAAAAAGGAAAAAAGTGGCAACAGAAAGCTTCTTCTTGGAGGAAGTTTAGTTTGAGAAATGATCAAACTAACAGCTCTTAAGTAATTAAATTATAAATCTCTGGCTGGAACAATGAATACCTGAGAGAAAACTTACCTCATGTTTGCCCATGCACCACTTCTGAGTTAGGAAAGTACAAGGGGGACATTTCTCCTCACTATGACAAGAATGATATACTGCAGAAAAAGAAAGGTAATATTAGGTATGATTTTTTTTAAAAAATAATTAATTAATTAATTTTTTAGGTGCAGATGGACACAACACAATGCCTTTATTTTTATGTGGTGTTGAGGATCGAACCTGGGTCCTGCAGGTGCTAGGCGACCATTCTACAGCTGAGCCACACATATATGCCATTTATAACATTTACGTGTTATAACATACGCATGTAGGTCTATATATTGTAAATAGCATATGAAATAGAACATTTAAATTCTGGAGCAGGGAGTATTTTTTCTAAGTGGACAGAGGAACATAAAAAGCACCTGGTTTTACATTAAAGTGTTGAAAGATGAGATGAGTAGGAAAGAGAAACCAAATCAAGATGGGAAGAAATGTGCCAAATCCCAGAAACAGAGAGGTGACAGCTTTCTTACCATGTCCTGCAGATAGTCACCTGGTCTGTTCATTTTACTACATTATTATTTTCACTCTACCTTATGCTACAACTGCTCACTGGTACACAGATACCTTTGCCACGTATTCCATCTAAAATAATTATGCTGACTCCTTTCGATATCATTATTGTCAGTACTTCACTAAAACTTGTCCCCTACAACAAAACTTTTCTTGACTGACCATACTCTATTCTAAGCTCCCTCACATTCTCTGTAAGGCTTGCTGCCATGCCATCCGGTTCATGTACATACAAGTTGGTTGTGTTGTGTGTACTTAATTACCATTCTCTTCCTCCCAGGGAAAATATAAGAACCTCAAAGCTATGGGTTTTTAAAAAAATTCTTCAGAAGCTTTGATACCATGCTGAATATACAACAAACACTCAAGAAAATGGCAATGAATGCAGAACAAAAGCAGGCCAAAACAACAAAATTCACAAGCAGTTAAGTTCTTACTAAGGACATTACCCAGCAGGTTTTGAACTTCGTTGAAAAAAGGGGTTGGGGTTGCGTGTGGCCTGGACACTTACTTCATGATTGTGTGAACACTGTAGTATGAGTTTATAAACTTTGCTGGGAGAGCTGGACATCCTAAGGTTCCAGGGAAGAAAGGGACTTTTTATTTCATGAGGAATTTGCTTATTCTTTTTAGTCTATTAATTAAAAAAAAAAAGAGGTCTATTATTGTAAGTCTGAATCATATGATCAGACTTCACTGAAAGTATTAAATCTGGGGCCTTGATTATTTTAAGTTTGTCTCTGAGGCTTGTTAAAATAAAATGATGGAAAAATAAAATAAAACAAACAATGGGCACAATTCAGTCCTAGGAAAAAGTCAGCAACTGGACTAGACAGATATGAAAAATGACTAATATCAAGTCATTTTTGGGGTGGTGTCAAAAGCAGTTTATCAGAGAAAAAGTGGAAAGAACTCAAATGTCTAGCAACACAAGACTGATTAAATAAACTGGCTGATTCATGTAACAGAGTACTCTATTGTCATTAAAAATCTATATTGGCATTAGAGTGTTTGCCTAGCATGTATGAAGCTCTGGATTCAATTTCCAGTAACACACATACCCCATATTGTAGAAAATCTTAGTGATAAAGAGAAAAATGTATCTAATTTTTAGGAGATGATATAATTAACAACTTAATGTTAACCTTTTGACTTCATTACTTTTATTCTTGCTTTATTTTATTTAATATACATTGCTTCTGTAACAGCAAAAACCTGTTATTTTATTTTTTAATTGTAGTTGGAAAATACCTTTATTTTATTTATTTTTTATATGGTGCTGAGGATCAAACACAAGGCCTCGCACATGCTAGGCAAGTGCTCTACCACTGAGCCACAAACCCAGCCCCTCAAATTACTCTTAATTTTGTCAAAAGATGTTCAACTTTGAAATATGCACCAAAAGTGGAGGTCACAAAGAAAAGTCCTTGAAAGACAAGACCAAGTAGGGGTTCTTCCACCCTTCTGGGTGTGTCTGAAAAACCACAGAATAAAGCAATAGACTTTGCTGTAGGTCCAAACTGGAGCCCTGATAATAGACTCACCTTCACAGAAGCACAGTGAGCAAGGGACAGCCATCTCAGCATGACCTCAGCACATGAAGACAGTTACATGGCAACATCCTCAGTGACATGGTATGAGCAGGCTGTGAGATAGGGAAGATGGGACTCACCTGGATGTTCACATTCATGGATTCTGGCACAGGTTTGGGTACACTCCGGAGGCCTAGTACCACAAGGAACTGGAGGGTAGATCACTGATGCTCCACAGTGGCAGGTTAATTCATCAAAACCTGGTAGGTAAGGCAAAAAAAAAAAATCCTTTTTTAGTTTGGGATGTGGATGCCACATTAAATGAAGATGCAAACATTTATTGTTGTTTGTGGTTTTAGATAATTTGGAAGAGGGCTATTTTAAAAATAAAAAGGTTTCTATTTTATTAAGCTTTTATTTTATTAAAGTTGACCGGGTGAAAAAGGCACAAACAGATATCAAGTGTTCTACTTACCACTCTGAGTCTGACAACTCCTCAATACTTTTCCCAACACATTTCTATTAGAAGGTTATATTAATGACTATGAGTTTTTACTATTACAAATTAGTTTTTACTATTACACAAAATTTGTCAATATTTCAAAGATCTGAATAACCCCGGGAATATTTATCTGCCAAATGATCAGTGTATTGTATTATAAAATCAAGCATGGGTAAAAGATCTATTCAAAGTACAAGACAGACCAATGTATTTTAATGTGACAGAATAAAAACAATACTAACTCATGTCGTTTCTGTAATGAGGTTGAGTTTTGGTATAACACCAAAGAACAGTATCCACAATTATTCAAGAAAGTTTAAAAAACATTCTTCACTCTTCCAAATAGCTATCTATGTGAGGCTAGATTTTTTTTTTTATGTCTCAACTGCACTGTAATAGATAAAATGCAGAAACTGATATGAGATTACAGTATCTTGTATTAAGCCAGGCATCCAATAGTGTATTTTTTTTCAAAGTAGAGATTTTTCTTTTTTTTTTT